TTTTTTTTGTTTGTGCATTCATGTGCATGCGCCTATGTGCGGAGGCCAGAAGTTGATGGTGGTTGTCTTTCTGGAATCATCTGCACCTTAGTCTTTGAGATGCAGTCGCACACTGAACTTGTAACTCACTGTCTCAGTTAAGCTGACTGGCCAGCAAGTCCTGCAGACCTGGCTGTCTCTGGTTAGCACTGGGGTTACAGGTGCACACTACAGGGTTCTGAGGATCCAAACTTGGGTCTTCATGCCTGTGCAGAAAGCACTTTAGTCTCTGAGCCATCTCTCCAGCTCCCAAGCTCTTGCTGTTTCATTTACTTCCCAACACGGCCCTGCAAGACCATTGAAACGGGCATCTTATCCACAAGTAAATCTGAGAAAAAACTATTTTTCTAAAATCACACAATTGACTGGACTGCCCCTCCCTGTGGTACACCTTAAGGCATCCATATTTGGTGTGGGAGACTTGTCTGTATTCTGTCAATCATGTTTTAAATAAACGCTGATTGGCCAGGCAGGAGGTGTAGGCGGGGAAACCAGACAGGAAGTAGAAATGATGCAAGGAGAGCAGGAGAATTCTGGGGAGGAGGAAGTTGATTCTTCGCTCGCACTCCTGCCCAGACCACCGAAGCTTCAGGATGTGAGCAGCTCCACAGAAAAAGGTACTGAGCCACATGGCTAAAATAGATCAGAAAAGTGGGTTAATCGAGATGTGAGAGTTAGCCAGTAAGAAGCCTGACCTAACGGGCCAATCAGCTTTATAACTTACGGAGTCCTTTGTGTGATTTTTCTCTGGGACTAAACAGCTGGGGGGCCAGACAGATACACAAAAAAAAGAAGGCCCCCTCATGTTACAGAATGGCGCCCACGTGGATAACTGCATCCACAGAAAGCCTGAGAAAGCTTGGGAAAGACTAAACTAAAGGATTTCAGTTTTCAGCCGTAGCAGGAAAAAAGCTGCCCTGTTTTAATATGCCGGCTTTCTGGGCCGTCCGGCCAGGGAAAACTGACTCTTTCAAGCAGTCAGTCCTGACTATGGAAACACTGTTGCAGCTTGCTTCCTGGCAAGGACCTTGAAACGCCTTAAGAGCTTTTGACTGTTGTTTTCTCCATATTCCTTAGCAAATTAAAAACCCATGTGGTCAGAAAAAGAGAGATCTACAGTAAAGAGAGATTCAAAGAGTGAAAAAGCCTCTAAATGGTTTACATTATGCTAAAAATATATGCAGGCTTTAAAAAAAAAGGTTAAAGCCTTAAAATAAAAAAGAAAGAAAGAGAATAGTTGGGTGTGGTGGTACACACCTTTAATCCCAGTACTGGGAAGGCAGAGACAGACGGATCTCTTGGAGTTCAAGGATAGCCTGGTCTACAGAGGGAATTCCAGGACAAAGATATACAGAGAACCTGTCTCAAAAAGACAAAAGTTAAAAGTAAAAATAAAAGAAATAAGAGGTTAAAATAAAGCCACGTAAAGATGAAAAATACACAGAGAATTTTAATACTGTATGTTATTATGCTCTCTTTGAATTGTTTAAATGCTGAGGAAGGAGCAACAGCTGCTAAAAGATATTTGCTTATAAATGCTGCAGAATTAATCCAAGATAGGTATTTTGAAAATACCTTGGCTTCAAAATTGAAGTCAAAAGGTATGTTTCTTTGGAGAAGAGATTTTGCTTTTGTTTCCACAGAAAATGAGAGGCTCTGGATTTATTCAGAGTTAAGAAAAATCATCTTTGACCAAGGGAGACCACCTGAGCAATCTCCGGTAGGAACAGATGGCCCAGATATCTGAGTTCTTCATCCAGAACAGGTTCAAGACTGCTGCCTGAAATGATCAAGACTCACAGGATACTTCAGTCAGGACTTGATCATAACTCTAAATTTTCTTTAGGTTCCCATAAAATTATCAGCGCCCCCAACCAGCTAGAAGTAGCCTGGAATACTACGCCCACATTCCCAAAAAATGGACTATGGATCTTTTCCTTTGTTTTTTTAAAAAAGAGGGGGAAGTGGTGTGGGAGACTTGTCTGTATTCTGTCAATCATGTTTTAAATAAACGCTGATTGGCCAGGCAGGAGGTGTAGATGGGGAAAACAGACAGGAAGTGGAAATGATGCAAGGAGAGCAGGAGAATTCTGGGGAGGAGGAAGTTGATTCCTCCCCAGAATTCTCCTGCTCTCCTTGTGTAGACAGATACACAAAAAAAGCAGGCCCCCTCATGTTACACATATTGTGTCAGAACATGACATGTCCGCGGGCCCCTGAGTAAAGAGTCCTGTAATTCATAAATGCAGGGAGAGTGTCAGGCCAGACAACATTAAAAGTTACTCAGACAATCATTCTCTGCTTGGAGGGAAACAGCTGTGATTTATTAAGTGAACCGTCTCTCCAGGAATGATGCTTTGAGTTTTATTTCCAGTTCCCTGTCCTACTCTGAGAAGGAACAAAATTGGAGAACAGTCCCTTGTGAGATTTGCTATGCAATGCTGTGCAGTCAGTCGCAAGGCATGCCCGGTGACACGTGGGGACTGTGAACGGTGGATGCACTAATAGGGTCAAAGAAACAACGACTTATGGGCTCAGAGCGGGGAATAAGAACACAGAGGAACATAACCATGATTTGTTTAGCTGCAAATTGTTCTCATCTGTGCTCCAGTTAGTTGGTAAATGTTTTTCTTGTCTCTGAGTGTCCTGGTTGGGCTCCAGCAACTCGGGTTGGCACTCACACTGCAGGACAAAGAGGTGAGTTGCTTGGAACAAGCTGGAATCAACACCCTTCACTCCACAGACTAAGTGGACCAGCTGAGTGACAGAGAGGCCGCTCTTAATCCTTGAGGAAGCCATTCCCTCAGAACTTGGATTTCTTTTCTTTAGTCTTGGGAGCTTGTTTCTGGCCCCATAGAATATTAAGTATTGTATCTGACTTTCTTGTGTAGGAAGCTCCTGTTGGTGTTTCATCAGTGAGGGTTTAGTTGTCCTCTTAGTTGGAAGCCCCAAGGAGGCTTCAGCCTGGACAAATAGAGGCATGCTATCAGGGCCTGGGAGAGACAGAGATGCAAGGTGATCTTTCCGTAAAGAGTTTTGGGGACTTGTATTAAGAACTACAAGGAAAGTCACAGTAATGAACTGGCTGTTCCTGGTGTCGGCCTCTGGCTTTCTCTGTGTTTGTGACCTCAGTGCTATGACAGCGAAGTGGACCAACTGAGGCTGCGGGAGGTGAACTGAGCTTCGATGCCCAGAGATGCCTCTTATTTCCGCTGCTTTGAGGCTGTGTCTGCTGAGAGAGTCAAGGTTTCCTCCAGCAGTTACTATGACTCAAGACTCCCTCTGGTTGTTGCTAAAAAGCGAGGTCCTTCTAGCTTTTGATGGTAGTTAAGGCCCCCTCCAGCTGTTGATGAGAGGCCAGACTGCTCAGTGCAGGTAGTGGTATCCAGATGGTAAGGGGGTTGGGACTGGGGCTGGGGGCCCCTTCCCTGCGGCTCATTTAAGATAGGGCAGGAAGGAGAAGTTGGTTTTTTCCCCCATACTGATAGTCCTGCTTATGTCTCTTCTGCCTGTCTTCCCTGTAAACATCCTGTCCCATCAGCAGCTCCTGACAGACTGTTTATAGTCAACACCGTGTGTGGTTTCCAGAGCCAGACCTAAGCCTTTAGACAAAGCTGGCTTCTGTTGATCACTTATTTGCCAATTCTTTACCTGAAACAGCTCTTGAATCTCCCTCCTCTTGTCCCAGCCCTGTCTCCTGCACCATCTCCTGTAGGCTAGCTTCCTTCCTAATTTGCCTTGAACTGCTAAGGGGAGGTACCAGAGTGGGTATGTGGTTAGCAGTGTTTCTCTGCAAGATGCATAGTCCAAACCCGAGGACCTGATACAGCCCACTACTCTCATCTTCCTGACTCTGGATAGATGCATACTTCCAACTTACTTAGTTTTGCCGGAACTCAATGTATCTGACATCCTCATGAGCAAATCTGGTGCTTACCTGGGCTAGCAGGGGAGACCAAATCCTCTCCATGAAGTCTTGTATCCTCCATAAGGCTGTCCCAGGCCAATGAATATGGTGGCAGAATGAGTCCCTGTAGTGGGGAAGTGGATTTGTTGCATGAATACTGTTTTAGCTGATTGTGTCCAGGGAGTGGAACCTGGGGCCTCCCGAATACTAAGTATGTGCTCTACTACTAAGCAATGCCCCATCTCTGCCGTATTCTGTGTTTGTGCCTTGGTGCTCCGTCTGCTATTTTACTCCTGTGAAGTCAATCTCGGGATCAAAAGGTGGAGAAATGGACTCTGCTTGTGAGGGAAGGCGGAACCGCTGTGAATCCAGATAGTCTGAGAAAACAGGGACCCTCTCTGCAATGATGGTCATAGTGGGACAGGGTAGTTGTTTCCTGTTCTCTACTGCCCTCGTGCTAGGCTAATTTGCGTGCCCTCCAAATTTATAATATGGGAATCTTTGGGATGATGGCCTTGGTGATGTCAGCAATGCATTGCAGAGCGGTGACCAGCCAAAGCCCAGTGAGTCCCTGCTGTTACCCACTGTCCAATGATCCTCTTCACTTTCATGCTTGCATTCTGTTTTTCCCGGTCCTTGCAGACCCTTCCCTGAAGACTTTTGTTTTTATAAAAGTGACATCTCAGGTGTGGTAGTGGCTAACATCTCATGCCCCTTTCCTTTCACATCCTTCTTGCAGTCCAACTTGGTCAGTTCTGCCTCCATTCTCCGTAGTGTCCCTTGGAACCTGTGTCCCATTGCCAGGCATTTCCTGTGCAGTTCTCCGCCCCCCACCCCCACCCCTTGCAAGCAGAAGATCTGAGTTGGTTGTTTTGCTCTCCCTCCTCCAGTCCTGGAACGATAACACTGTTGGAGCCCTCTGTGTAGTGTGAATGTTTGGGTGGGCAGGTCAGTGAGTGGAGTCCTTGTCATTGTCTTGAGTTATCTCAGAAAGGCCTCGGGTGGGATTAATGCCAAAACTAACTCGTACTTCCTCTCTGCTTTGCATTTTCAGCCTTGACTTTGATGAACTGAAAATGCCATCCAGAAGCCACTGGCACCTGCTGGGGCAGTGCTGAGCAAGGGTCAGCACTGCGGAGCCGGACAGTTGTGTCTATGAGCCAGAGGTAGGCAGTGACTCAGCCTCCTGAGGTGAGTGACTGATTTCCCTCACACGAGGGAGATGTGTTGTCTTTTCCAGACTCTCCCCCCAGGGCTGTGCTGTGGATTGAACTGGCGACAAGAATCATATGCTGTCTTTTCCACCTTTGGAATTATGTTGAGGGATTGGAGAGGGGATGAGACATGTGCTGTGTTTTCCAGACTCTCCTGTGGGTTATGAAGCAGAACAGAGGGTGTTGCCCTGTTTCCTTAGACTCTTTGTAGTGCTTCTTGCCAGCCATGCAGAGCAGTGCTCACAGAGAGAGGGTACCTGTTCTCCCTGTGACGTACAGAGCAGGCTTTTAACGGAGAGCTTTGCGGTTCTCATGGAAACTCCTAAGAGACCCCTGGACTATGAACATTCTTCCATGACAAGTGACCATCATTACAAATAAGGCCTGGCCCGATGCTATTGCATTCTACATCAGGGAAGAACGGTGTGGCAGCCACAGTGAGGACCTGTGTGTGTGCGTTCCTACTGTACATTCTGAGCATAATGCTAGCAAGGATGTGTGTATCTGTGTAAGACAGACACATGTGTTTATATGTATATAAGTGCGCGTCCACATCTATACATATCATTCAGATTATTACTAAACAAACTAAATTGCTAACTTTTTTTCCTGACAGAAGCAACTTAAGAAAGGATTTATTCTAGTTTACGGTTTAAGGTATAGTCAGTCCACTGTGGCAGAGAAGTTATGGTATCGGGAACACGAGGCAGCTGGTCATGTAGCATCCATGGTCGGGAAGCGGAGAGAGATGAACGCTGGTGCTCAGCTTGCTCTCTCCTTGTGATTTTGTTCAAGACCCCAGCCCATGCTTGGGTAGCACCATGATTAGGGTAGACATTGCCACTTCCGCCAATTCAGCCTAGAAGCTCCCGCCCCCAAGACTTGCCCAGAGGTTTATTTCCATGGCAGTTCGAAACCTCATCAAGTTGACAAGCTGACCATTGCATTGACTTATCTGCAGTCACCGGGTCGGGAGTTTCTGCTGTTGACGCTAGAACATCCATGAAACTCCAGTCTACATTGCTATTAAACGGCTCAGTACTTCTCCAAATACCACTTTATTGAACTGCCAGTCATGCCACGTGGCATCGCCACGGAAAGCAGCCACTCCCAGTGAGCACCTGTCTTGGCTGTTGTGCTTAGGTGGAAAGGCTCGGGAAGGCTTCATAAATGAGAAGAGAAACCCAGAGCAGAGAGTGAGTATCACCGAAACATCCCTCCTTGCTGTCACCAAATAACCTGGCAGAAGCTCCCAAAAGGAAGGTGGATTTATTTTTGCTTACAGTTTAAAGGGACACCATCCAGCCTGCTGGTAAAGTCAAGGTAACAGGAATGGCATCAGTTAGAGCAGCTGAAGCTTGCTCACATCTATCTGGACAGACCTAGAAGCTGGAGAGAGAGTTAGGGCAGGAACTAGAACTGAGCTATAACTTAAACCCCAGCCACACACACACCCCATCCTTCCCCCACATATAAACACACATACCATCACCTCTACATACACATATACACACACATCCCACTCCCATGCATACACACACACACATTCCACCTACACACACTATCCCACCCATACACATACATACGCGTACCGTCAGCCCCACCTACATACACATACATACCCCTACCCCTACCTACCTACCTACACACACACACACACACACACACACACACAGAGTGGCCCCACTTCCTCCTATGAAACTATGTCTTCAGAAGATTCCACAGCCACATCTTTTTTTTAATTATTTCTATTTAGCTATATATTTTTCTTTGCTCCCCTCCCTTTCTCTCCCCTCCCCTTCTACCCTCTCCTATGATCCCCATGTTCCCAATTTACTCAGGAGATCTTGTCTTTTTCTGTTTTCCATGTAGATTAGATCCATGTTCGTCTCTCTTACGGTCCTCTTTGTTGTCTAGGTTCTCTGGGATTGTGAATTGTACTATGGCCACATCTTAAAGGTTCCATAATTCCCCAAACAGAGCCACCAACTTCTGATCAATTATTCAAACATGTACGACTATAAACGCCATTTCAGCTCCAAACTTTAACGATGGTGTCATAGTTAGGGTTTATGTTGCTGTGAAGAGATACCATGACCATGGCAACCCTTACAAAGAAAAACATTTAACTGGGGGGGGGGGGGTACTTGCTTATAGTTCAGAGACTCAGTCCATTAGCATCATGGTGGGAAGCATGGCAGCATGCAGACAGACATGGTGCTAGCTACATCATGACCGGAAGGCAACAGAAAATGGTCCCAGACACTGGTTGGTATCTTGAGCATAGGAAGCCTCAAAGCCTGCCTCCACAGTGACACACTTCCTCTTATAAGGCTATGCCTACTCCAACAAAGCCGCGCCTCCTAATAACACCATTCCCCCTGAGCTTATGGGGGCCAATTGCTTTCAAACTGACACAAAGGGGAACGTGTTCGTTCCCATGCTCACAGGTCTCAGGCCTTGGCAGTGGCCAGCTGGACTTTCTTGATGGACACCTCTCCCATATATGACCCATGTACATGGTCCAGAGCACCCAGACCCAGTCTTTTAAAGGAAGGTACACAGACAGCACCTAGCAGTGTGTGATCCCAGTGAGAATGCAGCACATGGCTTCTTGTCCTGAGCTCAGAGTGGGAGGGAGACTTGAACTCTCTTCTCTTGTCCTGGGTTTGCCTGGCTGAGCTGCATTAGCGAGGAAGCCTCAGCATCGGCCCAGCTGTGTTTCTGGCATCACTTGACAAACCTACTTTCCCTCACATGTCCACAAGTGTTCCTGAGCTCCTGGGTGTATCAGGTGCTCTTCTAGACTAAGACCCAGCAAGTGCACATCCTAGCTGGGATTGGCAAAGGGGAAGAAGGAAGTATGCATAGAAGTGACAGGATAGTGGACACGGGCCCGGGGGTAGGGAGCATCGCCTTTGTGTGGGCACCAGAAGTCTGTGCAGGTATCTGTGGTGAGCTTGACCCCACTGCCAATGGGCGAGAAACATTGGCAGGAAAACAAGGGTTGTTTGTCTCTAATTGTGACAGGCATGTTTCCTCCTTTGTAGGGGCTATGGCCTTGTAGAGAGCCAGGCTGGTTCCTGCCTGAGTCATGTACATGAAAGCTCACAGGGCTAAGTTATTTCCTCTAAAAACAACAGGCTGTGTTATCAGCCAGAGCAGAGACAGCCTGCACGCCAGGCTCTCAGTAGCTGAGATAAGAGGGCATTGGTATTGTCCCCAGATACTGACCTGGGTGGGAAGGACCTTGGAGAATTTCCTTTGCTGATAGTCTTTGAGAAGAAGGCAGCAGTGTTCAGAGCATGTGCCTCTTCCCTGGAAGAGGGGAGACACAAACAAGGGAGAATCTTTGCATGTCCGAAGAGCTGTCAGATGGCAAAAAAGTAAGCTTGTACAGGGAACTTAGTGAGTGAGCCCAATAATGAGGGTGTAGAAAAAGGAGATAACTTTTGTTTCTGTCTGTGTTTTCCCTCCTCAGTTGCTTGGCAGTCATTCATGGGCACCTCCAGACCTGGGGCTTTGCTGGGCACTGGAGGTGAAAGGAGTCAGTGGGCGCCATACCTCTGGGACGCTGATAGCCCAGGCAGGGAGAAATAGATCTGCCAGTTAGTGGCAGACACAGGACATAGTTCTGACTTTGTGAAACCTGAGGCATATGCAATTTGGAGTGCTCTGTAAAGAAATAACATACTAAGTCATAGATTTGAAATAAAACATAAGCCTTGATAAGTGGGGTTCTCTGGGGATGGAGTACCGCTCTCCTGGTGTGGGCCAGTCTCAGTCTCCAGTGGATTTGCAGCTGAGGGACTATCAGGTTTTCTCTCCTGGGTTTCTGGAGGTTGTTTGTATGGAGAACAGGTTTGTATGTATGGGGAACAGGTCATCTACTCAAGCCTAGACATAACCTGAGAAGGAAAGCCATTAGGAGGACAGGAACATCCACACTAGTGTTCTGTGACGTGGGTGTTCCTGTCTTTATTTTCTGACTGGTGAGATGAGATGAAGTCTTTTGTTCCCTTTGTGCTGGTAAACTGTTCGATGGCATAGTCTATCTTCAGGGTAGCCGTCGTGGTTTGAGAATGGCCTGCCTCCTGCTTGTATTTGAATGCTTAGTCACCAGGGAGTGAAACTGTTTGAGGAGGATTAGAAGAATTAGGAGGTGTGGCCTTACTCGAGAAAGTATGCTGCTGGGGGTAAGCTTTGAGGTTTCTCCAGCCCACACCAAACCCAGTCTCTCTCTCTCTGTGTCTGTTGCCTTCAGGTCAGGATGTAAGGCTCTCAGCTACGGCACCAGCACCATGCCTATCTGCTTCTTGTCGTGATGATCGTGGACTAAGCCTGTAAAACTCTAACTCCAATTAGATGTGTTCTTCATAGGAGTTGCTTTCATTGTGGTGTCTGTTCATAGCATCAGAAAAGTAACTAAGATGCTAACCCAGTGATCCCACTTCCAGGCTGCATCCTAGGGATCCGCCGAACTGTGGAAGTACTGAGCTGCGTGTGAGAAGAGCATGTGGGAGTACCTCCAGAGACTTGACTGGAGGTCATTTCTAAGAGCACCTGGTCAGCCACCGTGGGAACTAGCTATTGATAAACCAGGTGTACACCACTCATCAAGAACTTTTACTTTGTATATGTGACTTTGTATAGTGTTTCCTTAGAAACTACATAAGCCTTTTATGGAACAGAGGGCTGGTTTAGTAATATATTCCCAAGCACATGGCTCCTAGCTGGGCTTTGAAGTTGGGGTGTATTTCCAGATCCGTGCCCATCAGCTCTGTTGCCTCTCCAGGATCCTTGTTTCTAATTCTTTTATAGCTTCTGATACATCCAGGAAATAGCCTGAGTGGGCAAGTTTAGGAACAGGGTTCAATAAAATACAACTTAGAATGGAGTCATTCATAGTGAGCCCATGTGGAGTTTTTCCTAGAACGCCGGGATGTTCCGGGTGTTGGATGCTAAGGGGAAAGCCCC